CCTTTACTTACCACACACACACAAACACACACACACACACACACACATGTACATACACTCACCCCCCCCCAACACACACACACGCCTGTGTAGACACGTTGCCTTCAAGTTGTCGGACAACACAGTCCATCTCATCTCGCCTCAGCTACCCCTCCGCAAATAGTGAGTACTTGCTTGCCTTGTCCAAGCGCCTTGCGGCTGCACTCGTGATTTTGCACTTGTGTGCGTGCCTCACGTGGTTTTGCTCACCAAACACTGCGCACCATCCCTCATCGACACCAAGTGTCGAGCCCATCCCGCCACGGTTTGAGGGACCCGGTTTCAGCATCGAGGAGTATCTTCGCAACAACGGCCTTCTCGTTGGTCAGTCACAGCAGACAAACGAGAGGATGCTGGGTGGGAGCATGTCCAAATGTATCTGCTTCTGCTTTGCTGGTGCGCTGGCGCTTACGCCACCACAAACTCGTCGTTAAACCACACACACACACACACTCACACACACACACACTCACACACACTCACACACACACACTCACTCACACACACACTCATACACACACACTCACACACCCCTCCTTCTTTTGCAACATCGCGCACGTTGCGCTGATTTGCAGATATGCCCGCGTCGAAAGGGGCAGCAAAAGGGAGCAAAGGGAAAGGGAAAGGAAAGGGAAAAGGAAAGGGCAAGAAGCAGGGCCCAACAGCCGTGTACGTGTTTCACCAGGAGGACCTGCATGAACCCCACCTGCACATGCGGCCGGCGAAGTCGGTGCTCAAGTCTAGCAGCGGCTCGGACACGCACGATGACAGCGAAGGCTACCACGCTGCTGACGACAACGGTCGCAAGAAGCAAGTGCGCAAGAAGAAAAAGAAGAACAAGAACAAGAAAGGCCAACAGGACCAGGCCCACGAAAACGGGCAAGTCCCTGCCGATGTGAACGGCAGCGGCGGACCATCCCGCCATACCGACACCGACGAAGAGGCTGCGGAGGCAGAGGAGCAGTGTGGCAGGGCGGAAGATGCCCAGCACCAGCAGCAAAAGCAACAGCAGAAACAGCAGCAAAAACAGCGAGAGGAAGAAGAGGAGGAGAAGCTGATTCGCGATGGCTGGCAGGTGCAAGGGCGAAAGCAGAAGCGCAAACAAGAGAGCAAGCAGGCGCTACCACACATGCCCCCAGCAGCCGCAGCCGCACCAACGCACACCAAGCTGCAAGGCAACAAGCAGCTGCAAGAAACCGAGCAGCACAGACAGCAGTCGCCACCGCCAAGCGAGAAGCCAGCTCTCGCCAGCAGCAGTGACGCTCGCAGCGAATCAAATACAGAGGTGCAGGACAAGCGTCACAACACTACGGTCACTGACGATGGTGGTGATGGCGATGATGAGCGACCGAGAATGGTGCAGCCTGAGGCGACACCATCACGCCTTCCGCTGCACCAGCGCATGTGGAACCGCCACGCACATGACCACGATGATGATGATGACGATGATGATGATGATGACACGGAGGGAGAGGACGGTGTTGTGGGCGAGATGTCTGACTTGGCGCGGCAGCTTGCACTCGGAGGCCGGGGCGCTGTGTCTGCACCGCGCGCACACACGCAGCGGACACACGCGCGCATGCGCAGCCGCTCGCGCTCGCCGACATCGCCACTGGCGCATCACCAGCGCAGCGCGTGGGGCCACGCGGAGGACGGAGACGACGAAGCTGAAGACGAAGAGGCCCAAGGTCACCACGCTGACGGTCGTGGGGGTGGAGATTCTGCAAGGCGTGAGGCTGCGGAGGAACATGCTGAGCGTGATCAAGAGCGTGATGGCACAGATGACCTTGGCGGGCACAAGACCGTGGATGAAGAGAAGCAGAGTGCCAGTCGCCCCATTGTGGCGCAGGCCGAGAACGCAAACACACCGCCACCAACAAACGCAGCAACAGCAACAGCCGCAACACCACCATCATCCACAGCCACAGTTCCAACAACTACAGCCACGACAGAGGCACCGCTGTCCATCGATGAGCAGTTGCAAGGCAAACCAGTTGCCTTCCTCGTCGAATTCGCCCACCACGATTGGTACGTGTGCGCGTGTGTGCGTTCGTGCGCGTGTGTGCGTTCGTGCGCTTATGTGCGTGGGTGTATGTCGCGAAGGTGAGTTTTTGTTCAGTTCAATAACAACCTCACGTGATGCCTTACCAAACCAACACACCACTCGCGTGCTTGCTGATGACAGGACGGATGAGAACGACAGCGTGCTGCTGTCGCTGTTTCTGGACGCCACGCGCTTCAAGGTGTACTTTGCGCCTGGCGAAGTGTGCGTTCGCTTCAAGTCCTTCAACCCCACCCAGTACAGCACAAGCTGCACACCCAAGACGCCTCTCATGTGGCGCTGCGCCTTGTTCGGTGAGAGCACAAGTCACACGCCCCTTTGTGCAGCGGGGCTGTTACGTTTGCTTTGTCGCACACACTTGACTTGCACACATGACTTGCACACTCAGTCACACTCATTCACACACGCTTGACACACACCGACACACACACACACACACTCTCTCTCACACACACACACTTGACACACACACATATACACACTTGACACACACATACACACACACACACACACCGGCACACTCTCACACACACACACACACACACACACACACACACACACACACACACACACAACACACCCACAACACACACACACACACACACACACACACACACACACACACACATCCGGGCGCCGCTTTGCGCCATAACAACCTCACGTGATGCCTTACCAAACCAACACACCACTCGCGTGCTTGCTGATGACAGGACGGATGAGAACGACAGCGTGCTGCTGTCGCTGTTTCTGGACGCCACGCGCTTCAAGGTGTACTTTGCGCCTGGCGAAGTGTGCGTTCGCTTCAAGTCCTTCAACCCCACCCAGTACAGCACAAGCTGCACACCCAAGACGCCTCTCATGTGGCGCTGCGCCTTGTTCGGTGAGAGCACAAGTCACACGCCCCTTTGTGCAGCGGGGCTGTTACGTTTGCTTTGTCGCACACACTTGACTTGCACACATGACTTGCACACTCAGTCACACTCATTCACACACGCTTGACACACACCGACACACACACACACACACTCTCTCTCACACACACACACTTGACACACACACATATACACACTTGACACACACATACACACACACACACACACCGGCACACTCTCACACACACACACACACACACACACACACACACACACACACACACACACACACACACCCACACACACACACACACACACACACACACACACACACACACACACACACGCACGCACGCACACACCGGCACACTGACTCACTCAATCCCCCTCCCCCTTTCCCACAGCGCGAATCGACCCTGAGGCATCGCGGGTGCTGCCCACCAGCAGAAATGGGGTGGTGAGAATACGACTGGTGAAAGACAAGCAACCACAACAGCAAATACGATGGTCGCAGCTCGAAGGAACAGGCACCGCCACCGCCAACACTGAACACATAGAACCAACTACAGCATCGTCGAGCACAGTCACGGCGCCAACTGCAGCCGTCGAGGAGAAGGGTGACATGTACGCCCTGTTGGAAGAAGTGAGTGGTGAAGTCACGCGAACGGCACAGGCCTTGATGACGCAGAGTGGTGGTGGTGATGGTGCAGCACCAGCCACCGCAACAGCAAGCACCACGACCACAACCAGCAGTACTTCAGTCACGGAAACAATGTCCGCGTTGAGCAACACGGTCGCAGCAGCTGCCAGCAGCACTGTGACAGCCACCACGACGGTGACAAGTCAACGTGCACCTTTGTCGTCCGCAAGTACCAACACGAAGGTACACGCTGAAACGACTACAACAGTGGCAGCGACAGCGACAGCCACTGCGCTTGAAGCCAACGCATCCCTGCGGCAAGACGGCGCCGATGAAGATGAGGCGCAGCTGTTGCCTGTGAGCAAACGCGGCGTGCTGGACCTGTATGCCACCTGGCGCGAGCGGCAGGACTCCATGCGCACTAGGGACACACTCGTACTGCAGCACCACCAGCAGCCGAGCGGCGGGGCAAGCAGCGAAGATGATGGAGATGGCGCATGGGCGGGCCCGACGCGCGTACTCGTTGCGCAGAAGCCGGCCTATGCTGGCATTTCGGGCCTGTTCAATCTCCGCCAGACATGTTTTGTCAACTGCGTGCTGCAGTGCCTGTTCCACAGCGCGGCGTTTGTGGACGCGTTTCGCACCCGGCCCTTGCGAGAGCTTGTGCCGGCGTGGAAGAAGCCAGCAGACAAGAAGCTTGCCGTTGTTCGCGAATTCGTGCGCATCTGTGAGTGTGCTGCAGGCAGGGCATGAGTGTTGTCCTGTCTGCGCGTGACTTGCTCATTCCTGTGTATCTGTGTGACTTGCTTGGTCGTGCATGCTCGCCATCTTTTTCAAATGTACGCGTTGCGCTCTCGTTGCATTCAACCCAGCTCCCGCTTCCTTCCTTGGTCATCATACGCGCCTCCCTTGTGCTAGTTATGCCACCTGCACTCACTTTCCAACACACACACACACAATGTGTCCATGTGCTGCAGGCGAGGAAGTGTGGGAGGCGCTGACGCCCGTGGTGAATGCGCGGGATCTGGTGGTGCACCTGATTCGGGCGGTGCCAGACTTCAACATGCTGATACAGCAGGATGCCCATGAGTTTCTTGAGCTGTTTCTGGACACGCTGCACGAGGGCATGAACAAGGTGCAGAAGAAACCCTATGTGCAGAATAAGGACGTGACGGCCGGCGACAGCGAGCACGAGGCCGCGCTGGAGGTGTGGCGAAATTTCCGCGCCAGGGAGGACTCGCACGTGATTGACGTGTTTCAGGGGCAGCTGCGCTCTTGTGTCACATGCAAGCACTGCAACCACTCCTCCGTCACGTTTGACCCATTCCGGTGCGTGTGCGCGGGTACTTTGGGTGCGACAGCAGTCGTGTATGAGTGCGTGTGTGTGTGCATGTGCGTGTGTGCGTGTGTGTGCACGTGCGTGCGTGTGTGCGTGCACGTGTGCGTGCGTGTGTGCGTGTGTGTGCACGTGTGTGCGTGTGTGTGTGCGTTTATGTGTACGTACGTGCATGTGTAGGTGTGCCTGCCTGCATTGCCCACCAACGGCTTACCTGCCACCATGGTTTTTTGCTCCCTTATGACTATTCTGCACCTCGTTTTGAAGGTCGCTGAGCTTGTCAATCGCTGAGCCGTGCAAACAGAAGATCTTGCACGTCTTTGACACCGATATGTCGCACGTCACGTCTGCGCAAGTGCGCATTCATCCCATGGCAACGGTACGATGTGGTCATGGTGTGCACGGACACCCTTCCTCTCTTACGAACCATGCATCAGGCAACACTCGCCTATCCGCGCGCATGCACATGCACACGCACACGCACGTGTGCATCCACATCCACATGTACACACCACACGCACTCATATTTTGCCCGCTCCCCCTTGTCCACCACACACACACATCATCATCATCATCATCATCATCATCATCATTATCATCATCATCATCATCATCATCATCATCATCATCATCATCATCATCATCATCATCATCATCATCATCATCATCATCATCATCATCATCATCATCATCATCATCGTCATCATCATCACCATCATCATCATCTCCTCTTCCTTCCTTTCATTCTGTTTGCAGGCATCTGAGCTGCTGGCGCAGTGCGGCATCGCGCGAGAAGAGCAGCCTGTGCTTGTGGTGTGCACATCCCAGGGCGAGGTGAAGGACGTGTGCAGCGGTGATGATTGTGTGTACGCTTCTGTCACCCCGACACGGCACTTGTTCGCCTGCTTCCCTCGTCCAACATCCATCGAGCAAGGAGAACAAGAAGAGGATGCGGTAGAGCATGTTGAGGGCAAGCAAGGCACGATCGAGGCGCAGCAGGAGCAGCAGCAGCAGTTGAGTGTGGTGGTGACGACCCGTGCACGCCGTAGTGTGCCGCTGGCCAAGTGCCATGCCTGCGCCACCCTGGCGGAGCACGCGACTGGCGCCTTGAAGCGGTGTGCGCGGTGCAAGCAGGTCTGCTACTGCTCCACGGCGTGTCAGCAGTCGCACTGGCCACAGCACAAGTCCTCCTGTCGTGCAGCAGCACCACAGCCCGTGGGCCGTCCGACCGTGCTCACCCTCACGACTTCAGCGTCTTCATTTGACGCGACCACAGTGAAGCGCGCCCTGGCCTCCAGTGCACGCCAGGCGCTCGCACTGCAACTGCAACAGACAGCGGTGTCGCAGCAGCAGCAGCAGCAACAGCAGCAACAGCCTGCGAACGAGTGCAGCAGCAACAACGCTGACAACGCTGACAACGCTGACAACGCTGAGTGGGATGTGGCTTCGATTGAGGGTTTCCTGGCTGCCCTGAGCAAATCTCGCGCCCAGGTCCGCGTCGCATCAACGACCGACAGGAGCAGCGGCAGCAGCAATAGCAACAGTAGCGGGTCCATGATGGACGTTGACAAGGCGCTTGCCAAAGGGCATGACGCTGTGTGGCAGGCTGTCGTTGACTTTGGCGTTGTCACCGATGCTCCGATTGGCGAGAACCAGCAGCTGCTTGAGTTGGCACTGGCTGCCGCTGCGGGGGACGCGTGCCCGCCGGCACCGGCGTCCTTCTACGATGACGTGACGCTGGAGGAGTGTCTGCGCCAGTTCTCCAAGACGGAGCACCTGGGTGAGCAGGACCACTGGTACTGCAGCAGGTGCAAGAAGCCGCGCCCGGCGACCAAGGAGCTCACCGTGCACCGCGCGCCAAGCACGCTTGTGCTGCAGCTGAAGCGGTTCAAGAAGCCCGGCGAGTCGATGACGCTGATGGACCAGGCGCGGCTGAAGATGGACAACCGGGTGAAGGTGCCGCCCCTGCTGGACATGTCGCACTACGCCTGCGCGTTTGGTGGCGGTGAGGCCGTCTCGCGTGAGGGCAGTTGCTCCCCTGATGTGGTTGGCGACAGTGGCGTTGCCGATGTTGATGGTGATGACAGCGTTGGTGTGGAGGGCAGCGTTTGTGGTGTTGGCGGTGTTGTTGACGGTGGTGACAGTGTTGTTGATGGTGGCGACAGTGGTGGCGTCGCACACAAGACAGCGCCGTCGCCACATATGTATGAATTGTATGGCGTGATTGACCACTATGGCCTGCTTGTTGCTGGCCACTACACTGCGTCTGTTCGCCATGCTTCCAGTGGCAAGTGGTACCGCTTTGATGACGAACACGTGACGCCTCTGCCATCTGTGGATGCCGCGGTCAAAGACCGCTCGGCCGCTTCCATTCTTTTCTTCGTGCGCAAGGATGGTGATGGCCACGGTGAAGCAGATGGAGCACGCGAATAAACACGTGGCAAACTGCAGGCCATGCACATGCACACATGATGTGAGCGCACGACAACCACACATGCACGAACACATGCACACACGTACACGAGTACGAGTGCACTCATTCCCAACAACAACGCCAAATCCTGTTTGCGACAGCACAAAATTCACGCCCGCGTTGAAAGTGTCAATTTTGACAGGTTGCGTCCTGCCGCGAAAATTTCGAACAGCAGCAAACAACCACCATCAACACCACATCCACAAACACACACCACGACATCCACATCCACACACAACCACCTCTGTCGACCACATACATCCATCATGGCTGACGTGTCGACGCCTGCGCCAAAGAGGGACCGTCGCCGAGTGAGCATTGTGGCTCACCGTCGCGCTCTTGGATCACCGCGATCGCCCATGACGCCAGGGGCCAAGTTCCGTGGCAACAACGACAAGCTGGAGAAGCTTGCTCGTCGCCGCTCCATGGCCATGCAAGTGGCAGAGAAGAAGATGAACACCAGCCCCTTCAAAGCACCGCCTCCAAACAACCTCCGGTGTGTGTGTGCGTGTGTGTGTGTGCGTGTGTTTGATTGTGAAGTCGTTTCGTAGCCGTGGTGTGGAGTTGTGTTGTTGCATGTGTCTGTTGATGTGTGCGTATTTGTCGACGTGGGTGATTGTTGTACTTCCTGTTGTGCATAAACTCTTCTTTCTCCCATAGCACCTTGCTAACACACACACACACACACACACACACACACACACACACACGCACGCACACACACGCACGCACACACACACACACACACGCACACACACACACATTCACACACACACATTCACACACACACACACACACGCACACACACACATTCACACACATACCCTTCCGTCATCAAAACAGCGCGGGGGTGCCGCCAAAACCAAACCAAACTGCACAGGTTGCCTCGGGCATGAGTGCCAGCCAACTGACAGACTTGTACGCCAATTGCATCAAGATGTGCAGCGAGAACGTGAGTTTTGGTCTTGACCACGAATGCAATCGCAAGCACTTGCGTGCATGCTCTTGTTTGTATTTGCGTTTCTGCACACATCTGCTGTTCTTGTCGGTTTCACGTGGAACTGAAACATGCCTCGCGCTCGTCATCTCGCCCGACATAACACTTGTTTCTGCTGCCTTTCGTTCACGTGCGCACACTCCTGCGTTGAGACAGAAAATCAACCAAAAGAACTCCTGGGAGCTGCCACTCATCGACTACATCACAGATGTCATGTCTGCACGCCCGGGCGAGCTGACCAACTTTCAGGTCGGTATGATGTATGCGATCGAGGAGTGTATGTGAGTGTGTGAATGAGCGTGTGTGTGGGTGTGCGAGTGTGCGAGTGTGCGAGTGTGCGAGCGCGTGTGAGTGAGTGAGTGTGTGTGTGTGTGTGTGTGTGTGTGAGTGTGAGTGTGTGAGTGTGTGTGCAAGTGTGTGTGATTGATTGGGTACGTGAGTAAGCGAGCAACATATTTGCTGGTGTTTGTGCGAGCCCCATCTTGCTGGACCTGTGTGCGTTGCGTCGCTGTACCGCATCACCGCACCTTCATTCATCGTCGTTGCTGCGATAACTTTGCTCAGATGGCCAGTGTGACGCTGGACGCAAGCGTGAAGATCTACTCTTGCCGTGTCGACTCCATCCATTCAGAGGCGTACAAGGTCCTGGGCGGCATCAGCCGTTCCGATAAGAAGGCAGGGGCCCTCACGGACAACCATGACGACGACGAAGACGATGACGAGAATGGCGGGAAGAAGAAGCGCAAGCGCCGCGTGAGTTGGTTGTCAACTTGCTGCACTCATTTGCTTGTGTGTAGACTGGTGTGCGTACATATTTGCGTTTTGTGTATCTGAATCTGTGTGTGTATGTGAATCTGTGTGTGCATGTGCGTGCGTGTTTGCGGTTGTGACTGATATTGTAGGCCTGTTATTTCCCTTCGTCTTGTCTGAAGCACTGGGTTGCCCATGTACCTCCTTTCTCTCATCCTCTATATGTAACTTTTGGTGCTCCATGAATGATGCTTTCACCATCAACCCTTGTGAAAATGTCAGGCCCGCGCCGTCAACACACTCGAGAGCAACCCAGCCTCGCTCAACGTCAAGAAGTTTGATCTCCAGTTTGACGTGGACCCGCTCTTCAAGCAGGTTTGTGTGCATGCTTGCAACTGCGTTCGTCAGCATCACCCCACATCGACGAAGCACACACACACACATGCACGCATACACACACATGCACACATACACACACACTCACACATACATACACACACATACACACACACTCACACACACACACATGCACACACACACACACAGTCTTTCACTCAGTAACACTCACCACTTGTGATCGTGCACTTGCTGCTCCCACATTGACCAAATGGCAGACCTCTGCTGCGTTTGACGAGGGCGGTGCACGCGGGCTGCTGCTGAACCACCTGACTGTTGATGAGACCGGCACGCTGGTCTTTGACTCGCAGGGTGGCGACTTCAAGTACGACAAGCAGGACCCAGACATTCCCGACGAAGCGTATGAGTCGCTCTTCGGTGAGTCTCGGGCGGCGGCTCTGTGTTGCTGTGCTTGTGCTCCACCATGCTACACCACGCCACGCCATGCTTGCAAGCTCTCAGTGCAACGTGGGATTTGGTGTGAATGAGTGAATTGCTGTTGGTGGACACACTATCGTATGCACACAGCTGGCACACCCGCACCTTACGCTCGCTTGCATTCATGTGTGTTTGAACGAAAAAGGCGAGTGGAAGCAAGAAGTCGAGGACTTTGAGTCGCTGCAGATCTGCCCGAGCTTGGCTGACTTTGTGTTCATGGGTTGGGAGCCCACTGTGAACGGCGGCGGCGACGATGCAGAGACAGTTGGTGCGTGCGACAACAGCAGTGGTAGGGTTGGGCATGCAGTGCGTGTGCACCGCAATCGCTGTGTCATTCTCGAGCAGTGCCAGCCTCAAGGCATTCCACACGACACACCATTTTGTTCTGTGACTACATCAAAATCACACACGCACACTATCACTATCACTGACACGCAAATTGGCACCCACATACTCACCTGTTCCCCGCCCTCACGCACACACACACATGCACACACACTCACACATGCACACACTCACACACACGCACACACGCACGCACACACGCACGCACACACTCGCGCAGCGGTGACAGGGCAGAAGCAGCAGCAGCAACGCGTTCCCGCCACTCCCATGAAGGTCAACATGAATGCCGAGGGTGGCTTCAACCTGAACCAATCAGGTATCAGGAATGCAGCACTGAATGAAATATGCACGCTTAGTCTTCTTGCTCCTCCGTGATATCTGGTACACTGCACGGAGATGGTTGACCTTGGACTCGCGCACTCACGCGTGCTGATATCTGCCTGTGCTGATGGACAGATGATGATGGAGACGACTTTTATGACGCGTTTGCGGATGCGTTTGAGGACACGATGATTGCAGGCGGTGATGACAACAATGTCACTCGCATCGCCGCCCAATCGCGCGCAGCAAAGCCAGCTCTGGTGGGTTCAATCACGTGTGGACAATGTATGTTCATAGGCGACCCATTTGCTTGCATTTACGCACATCCACACACACTTGCACACACATGCACACACATCCATGTACACATACACGCAGCTGTTCCTCACACTGTTATCTCCACCATTGTTCCCTCCTGTTTTTTTCTTTGTCAAGGGTTTGGCGCCCTTTTCCCAGGCAATGACGCTGGCGCTGCAGGATGGGACAACGTCGGAGTACTCGTACTTCAATGAAGCCGCAATGAAGAACTGGGCCGGTCCATCGCACTGGAAATTCCAAAAGAAGACAGGTGCATATGTGTGTATTTGTGTGTGTATGTTTGTGTGTGTGTGTGTGTATTTGTGTGTGTGTGTGTGTTTGTGTGTGTGTGTATTTGTGTTTGTGTTTGTGTGTGTGTGTATTTGTGTTTGTGTGTGTGTGTGTGTGTTTGTGTTTGTGTGTGCGCGTGCGTGTGCGTGTATGTGTGTGCGTGTGTACATTCATGTGCCTTTCATAACCGAGAACGAGAACAGCAGGGTAAACTTCACCATGAACGTGCTAATGCCAGTACCTCACACGGTTTGCTTCTCGCCTCACATGCACGTATGTTGCAGAGAAAAAGGGTGACGACAAAGCGTCCCAGTCAAAGAAGAAGAAGAAGGAAAAGTTCTTCATTGACTTTGATGGCGAGGCACCCGATTGGACAGCGTGCTTTGCCACGAGCAGGGCGGCAACCACGCTTGCCAAAAGCACACTCAGCCGCAAACCTGAGGAGTTCCTGCTCCCAGTTGATGTGCAATACAAGTTGGAGTCGCTCACCAAGCTCTTCACAAACCCAGCCATGCGGGTATGTCGCGCGCGCGTGTGTGTATTTGTGTGTGTGTGCGTGCGTGTGCGTGTGTGTTTGTGTGTGTGTGTGTGTGTTGTGTGTGTGTGCGTGTGTGTGCGTGTTTGCGACAATGAACGTGTGGAGGGAATCGTCGAGGGGACTGCAGCAATGTGTCCGTGCTCAGCCACACCACGTCAATGTTAGCTTCCTCACCACGACCATGTGCTGCATCGACACATGTGCAGATTGTTCGCAAGAGCGACGACGCCTCGGACGATTACAGCGGCGGCGACGCGCAATGGTGAGAGAGGTCACATGACGGCGGCAGTGTTGTTGGAGAGCGTAAACGTTTCAACTCATGTCCAAACCAAATGGAAAACGTGGATGTTCAAACATGGTGCAGTGCACTGGCATTTCTCGTGCTGGGCTACGTTCTTCTTCTTCTTCTTCTTCTTCTTCTTCTTCTTCTTCTTCTTCTTGCTCTCATTGCATGTTCGGCATTTCTCCTCGTGTACACGCATGACAGGTATGACTACAACAACCCGAACGACGCCAACAACTTTTGTGGATTTGGTGACGGTACGATCTCACATGCGCAACACCACCCAACAGCTTGCTTTCTGCCGAGACTCTTGTTCGACGAGTGCACCCAACTCACTCACTCACACTCTCTGACTGCCTCTTTCTCGTTCATTCACACACACACTCACAAACACACACGCACGCACACGCACACGCACACTCACTCCCTCACACTCACACACTCATTCACACACTCACTTACGCGCCATCTACCGCTTTGCGGCGCGGTTGGTGATAGGAGCCGCGTTTGCTGAGCACGAGGATGATGGCGCGGACTTTGGCGGTGATGACGGCGCTGACAACTGGAGCGATACAGAGCAAGCGCAAGGGCCAGCACGCGGGCTTGAGCCTGGCGAAAGTGGAGCTCATGCAGGCAACATATCTGCACTGTTGCAGCGCGCACGCCCATCCCAATTCTCCCTCATTGACGAGCCAACAAAGGCACAAAAGGTGCGTGCGTGTGTGTGTGCGTGTGCGTGCGTGCGTGTGTGTATGTGTGTGCAGGCTGTTTTATCGTGCTGGGTTGGCGAGTCACTTTCTGTATTGTGGGGATCAAGGTTGTTGCTGTAACAGGTGCCCTAACCCTTCTGCCCACATGACTGCATCATTTCTCCTTCTCCTTCTTCTTCTTCTTCTTCTTCGTCTTCTTCTTCTTCTTCTTCTTCTCTTCTTCTTCTTCTTCTTCTTCTTCTTCTTCTTCTTCTTCTTCTTCTTCTTCTTCTTCTTCTTCTTCTTCTTCTTCTTCTTCTTCTTCTTCTTCTTCTTCTTCTTCTTCTTCTTCTTCTTCTTCTTCTTCTTCTTCTTCTTCTTCTTCTTCTTCTTCTTCTTCTTCTTCTTCTTCTTCTTCTTCTTCTTCTTCTTCTTCTTCTTCTTCTTCTTCTTCTTCTTCTTCTTCTTCTTCTTCTTCTTCTTCTTCTTCTTCTTCTTCTTCTTCTTCTTCTTCGTCCTCCTTTTTCTAGATCCACATCAACTATGCCAAACAAGCCAAGCGCATTAATGTGAAGCAAGTCAAGTCCTCCATGTGGTCAAAGCTGACGACGGCGCCGGAAGAGCATGACGATCAGGTGTGGCACGTGTGTATGTGTATGTGGGGTGTACTTGTGTGTGTACGTGTGCGTGTGTGTATGTGTGTATGTGTGTGTTCGTTGTGTTTGGCGCTGCCTGTTGGCAATGCGCAACAATGCCTGTGTTCACGCTTGGTGGTAGTTTGGTTCTTTTCCTTCGTGGCTGACATGATATGTGTTGCGTGTTTCTTGGGGACGGCGTTCAGGAGAACGGCGAGAGCAGTCACAACGTGGTTGAGTCCGCGTACGGACAGAAGTTCACGGACGTCACAAAGCAGCAGTCGTTTGCCGAGATTGTTAGCGGTACGTCACGGCTAGAAGCTCACGTCTTCTTCTCTCTCATACACACCAACCAAACACGTTCAATGCGCAGCAATTCCCATTTCACTGCACTGCGTGCCTGCCCCTGTCTGGCGGTCCTTTCTTTCTCTTTCATTCCGCCTTGCCCTGCTTTGTCATTCCGTTTTGCCCTCCTCCCTCCCTCTGTCTCCCCTCCTCTCTCTCTCTCTCTCACACACACCTTCACACACACACACACACACACTCACACCTTCACACACACACACACACACACTTACACACTTACACTCACACTCACACACTCACACCTTCACACACACATTCACATACTTACACACTTCCACTCACACATACTCTCTCCCTTGCTTTTCCCCTCTCTCTGCCTGCAGACGTGCCGAAAATGGTTCCGCAACAAATGGGCGAGCAGCTCTCTGTGCCCATCATGTTTGTGTGCTTGCTTCACCTGGCCAATGAGAAGCATCTCAAGATCACGGGCGACACCACTGACGCCCTCAGCATGGACGACCTCGCCATCATCCAAGGCTGAAGTGTGCGCGTGTGCGTATGTGTGTGCATGTGTGAGTATGTGTGTGTATGTATGTGTGTGCATGTGTGCATGTGTGCGTGTGTGCGTGTGTGTGTTGAAACTGCCTTGCTTGCTTGCTGTCGTTCTGTGCGTCTCTTTGAGTGTGTCCGCGTTACAAAGTCATGCGAAAGTAGCCACGCAGTGAGGCAGTGACGCGAGTCGTGTCTGGATGCTTGTGCTGCTACTTCATGTTGGCTTCCTTTCTTCGCTTCCTTTCTTCGCTTCCTTTGTCTTCTACTGTTGCGTGTTGTGGCAACCAGAGTGCAGAAAATTTGGTGTATCTTCATACAAATTTAAACTCGTCTTTGTGTCACAAGCCACGCCCACCGCCAGCCAGTGCCCGCACTTTCCTCTCCCTCTCGTGTCCAGCAAAGCACCCGTCCTTCTTTCCTTCCTTGCTCAACCTAACAAGCCCCCAAAGATGGCCGAGAGCTTCAACCACGGCTATGCCGGCGGGATGCGCAAGCCCCGCAAGTACAACATCGAGAACACCAACATTGCCATGCTTGGCACCGACCTGGAGAAGGCTGTTCGCCAGCAGGCCGCCGAGACGGAGAAGGCCGTACGTTGTGTGGTGCTGTTGTGTGTTGTGTTGTTTGTAGCGTGTTGTCGCATGTTGTGTTGGTGTGTGCTGTTGTGTGTTGTGTTGTTTGTAGCGTGGTGTGTTGCTATGTGTTGTGTTGTTGTGTTGTTGTGTGTCCTGTTGTTGTTGTGTTGTTGTGTGTCCTGTTGTTGTGTCGTTTTGTATTCATGTGGTCGTTAGGTTTGAAACTGCCTTGATGCGCTGTTGGTGAGAATGCGTGACACGACTGTGAACACAGGCGTGCAAGTTGTTTGTTTCGCTCACATTTTTTTTGCTCCACTTGCTTGGTGTGATGATGGCAGTGGCAGCAAGTCAACACCAAGAAGCCCACCTTGATGGTGTGGCGCATTGAGCAGTTCAAGGTCGTGGCCGTGGACAAGGAAGACTACGGCACCTTTTACGATGGTGACTCGTACATCATCCTCCACTCGTACTTCAAGGACGGCCAGGGCGCCCTCGTGTACGACGTACGTCAACGTGGATCTCGTGCTCTGTCTATCCTGCTGTTGTCGCCACTGTCGTTATCATCGGCATGTCAGTGGCTGTCATGTGCTCCTCCTTGCTCTGGCAATACATGGCTGCTGCCCTTCAGCTCGTTGCAACGACCACACACACACACACACACACACACATACGTACACACTCACACTCAATCACACACCCTCACACACACTCACACTCAATCACACATCCACACACACACCCTCACACACACACACTCACATACGTACTCACACACTCACTCACACGTTTGCTTGCTTGCCTTTCGTGCTTCAGATCCACTTCTGGATCGGCTCGCAGAGCTCCCAGGACGAGTACGGCACTGCCGCCTACAAGACGGTGCGTTGCTTGCCATTGGTGCCGTTGTCATGCTGCGGGTAATTTGCTGTGTGACACAGCCCAATGAAAGGTGCAGCTTGATTGAAGGTACAGCGCCCCTTTATACCCCCATCCTCCCTTTTGGGTTGCTTCCACATGCTTTGTTCCCCCCCCCAACCTGTCCCCACCACACCTCGCCTCCCGTTCTCATTCCATGCATGTCTCGCGCGCACATGCAAACAGGTTGAGCTTGACGACTTCCTTGGCGGCAAGGCGTGCCAATACCGCGAGGTGCAGGACCACGAGAGCCGCCGCTTCAAGTCCATCTTCCGCAGCATCATCGTCATGGAGGGCGGAGTCAGTAAGTCGACAGTTGCTCTCGAACGAGTTCACTGCTGTTGTACGTGCCGTCCTCATGCCATGATGACACTGCAGACTTTTGTTTTTGACTCAACATCATGTCACGCCCGCTCTTCACCTCTCCTCCGCTGTCAGCACTGCAGTGCTTTGCGTCATCACTTCAGCCGCTCACACCCTGCTGTTTCTTCACTCCACTTGCACCCGACCTGCGTCATGCTCTTCTCCTTGCCGTCTTCTCTCCCTCCCTCGTTTCCATCCAACACCCCTCCTCTCCTCTGCAGAGAGCGGGTTCCGCCACGTGAAGCCGCGCGAGTACCGCAACCGCCTGCTGCACATCAAGGGCAAGCTCAACACCATCGCCATGGAGGTTGCAATCTCCTGCGACTCGCTCAACGCCGGCGACTCGTTTGTCTTTGACGCGGGCCTCAACCTGTACGTGTGGCACGGCAAGAACGCAGGCATCATGGAGAAGACCAAGGCTGCAAACCTCGCGCAGGCGCTGGATGATTCGCGCGGCGGTATGGCCGTCCGCCACGTCTTTGACCAGGACGACCGCGACCACGACTTCTTCAAGGCCATGGGCGTCGAGAAGGGTGAGCCCCACGGAGCTGGAAGAGAGGGAGAGTGGTGGTGTGTGTGTGTGTGGGGGGGGGGGGTAGGTGTCTGTCTAGCGTGCGTGTGCGTGTGATCGTGTGATCGCGCGTGTGTATGCGTGAGTGTGTGAGACTCTGTGCTTCTGTTTCATGTGTGCGAAGAGCGTCGTGTGCATGCACCTCACATCTCAACAACAATGTCATCCACCCCCCCTGCCTCTTCCTCATCCCTCTTCTCTCCCACACGGACACGTGCAGGCGCGATCAAGGACAAGGACGAGGGCGGCAGCGATGCGCAGGTGACGATTGGCGAGAAGCGGCTGTTGCGGCTGTCGGACAGCGGCGGGTCCCTGCAGATGAACGAGGTGGCCAAGGGCGACGACATTCGTCGCGACATGCTCAACACCAAGGACGTCTTCATCCTCGGTGCGACACCCCATGCGTCGTGTTTGACGTTGGTTTCTGTGGTCTGCTTGTGAGGTGTGTTGTGTGCGTGTGTGTGTGTGTGTGTGTGTGTGTGTGTGTGTGTGTGTGTGTGTGTGTGTGTGTGTGTGCGTGTGTGCGTGTGTTGCACTTTGTGTGCATGTGCATTCCTTTTTGTGCGTGCGCTTTGTTGTGCGTGTGCCCTTTGTTGTGCGTGCGTGAGTGTGCGTGTGAGGTGAGCATGAGCACCTTGCCTTCATCGACGCCGTGTGCATGCGCAATCCCCGTTCCTCACACATGTACCCAAACATACTGGCCACGGCGTGTGTGGGTGCAGACGACGGGTACGAGATTATGGTGTGGGTTGGCCTTGAGGCGAGCATGGAGGAGCGGCGCCAGGCCCTCAACCGCGCAGCGGAGTACCTCAAGAGCAACGGCAAGCCCATGACCACCCCAATCTCAAAGATCTACGAGGGCGGCGAGAACGAGGTGTGTGTGTGTATATTTGAGGCTACCTCGGTTCTTAATGGTTCATTGACCAATGTTCCCTTCCTCTTCGTCTTCCTCACCACCACCACCACCACCAACCACCACCACCACCACCATTGCAGCTGTTTGAGGCTGCGTTTGAGGTTGGCGTGCGGTCTGGCGGCGACGCGGAGGCGATTGCCAACGCGTCTCGCTCCAAGGCCGTTGCCAGCAGCGCAACCGCCGGGTACAAGGGCTCTGGCGGGCCCGGCACCGTCGTCGACATGGACGCCCTCTACAAGTGAGACTTGCGCTGCATGTCTGGACGGGAGTGAGAGCGGGGGCAGAGGGGTATGTGTCGTCAGTTTGCGTATGGGCGCTCACTATCAGCTCCATTTTGTTGTTCACGCACTCACTCACTCACTCACTCACTCACTCACTCACTCACTCACTCTCTCACTCACTCACGCACTCACGCACTCACTCACTCACTCACTCACTCACTCACTCACTCACTCACGCACTCACTCACTCACGCACTCACGCACTCACTCTCTTCCCTCTATCCACGCACCCGACATACACACTCGCACTGCCCTTTCTCCGTTGTCCACTGCAGCCAGAACGGGGTCGACCCTGCCCAGTGGGGCGGACGCGGCAAGGCGCCCTCGCTGTATGCGCTTGAACTGCAGGCAAAGAAGGCCGGCGCATACAGCCCCACGTCCGGGTGGGTCTCTGGCCACACCCAGCGCGAGCGGCAGCTGAAGCAGGCGCGCATTGCTGAGCTTGAGCAGCACTACGCCGCCAACCGCAAGGCCCGCTCGGAGTCTGGTGACACCTCTTTTGCCAGCGTCAAGCCGTTTATCAACTTTGACCCAAAGGCCGACGCCATGAAAGTGCGCAAGGCCATCAAGGGCCTCGGTACGTCACATGTTCATTTGTTTGTGTGTTTGAATGCGTATGTGTTTGTGTTTGAATGTGTGCGTGTGTTTGAACGTGTGCGTGCATGTTTTGTGTTTGAATGTGTGTGTGTGTGTGTGTGTGTGTGTGTGTCCGTGCCTGTTTGAATATGTGTGTGTGTAGACGGTGCGCTTCTTACCTCGCTGTGTGTATGAGAGCGTTTTGACACACACCTTGTCGACCTCACTTTTTGCTGTCGTGACACTTCAACATCCCTTGCATCATGTCGTCAGGCACGAACGAGAAGGTGCTGATCCAGATTTTCAGCCGTCGGACAATCGACCAGCGCGCTGCCATCTCCGGCGCATACTTTGCCAACTTCGACCGCGTACGAACCACCCGCACATGCGGACTTGCTCATGCTCTGCACGCGCTCGTGGAAGCACATCATGCATATTCATTAATGCACTTTCTTGTTGCTTGCCAACTGATGACCACCGCGTCTTTCGACGTTAACACACACATGCATATACGCACACACACACACACACGCGCGCACACACACACACGTACGACACGAATCAGGACCTTGAGGCGGACCTGCGCAGCGACACGGGCGGCAACTTCCGCACGGCGCTGCTGGCGCTCATCATGAACGAGTCCGAGCGTCTCGCCTACTTTGTCTACAAGAGCATGAAGGTGCGAGCGTGATAAACGTGAGCTGGCGTGCACGTGGTGGTGGAGAGGTTACTGGCACTGGCCTGCATGCGTGCATGTGTGCCACGATCACATCACAGTCACCACGCCGAAACATCGCCACAGCCGCTCTTTTCAACAGACACAACAGACACACACCCAAGCGCACGAAATCTGTTCACCATTCACCTTCTCCTTCCATCTGCCACACCACCGCTACCAATCACCACTGCAGGGCTGGGGTACGGAGGAGAACCTCCTCATTGACATTCTGTGCACGCGCGAGTCTGACGAGATTGTCAAGATCCACGAGGCCTACCACGCCCGCTACCCAGACCGCGACCTCGAGAAGGGTATGTGTGTGCGCGTGTGTCTTGTTGTTTGCTGCGTACGTGTTGTTTCATCTGCGTGTGTGGCAGTTTGCTTTCCGATCATCCTTTTCTGTCCTTGTTGCATCCGTTTCTGCCCTGCACCTCACCCCAACCGCCACATCACATCTCAATCTTCACACCACCACGCCACCATCACCACCGCCACCACCGCCAACACAACTGCCACTGTGCGCAGACATCACGGCTGACACGAGCGGGGACTTCCGGCGTGTGCTGATGGCGATTCTCAAGTGCAACCGCGCCCCCGTGCAGTCCGAGGTTGACGCGGAGGCTGCCCGCGCAGACGCTGAGATCCTCTACAAGGCCGGTGCGTGCCGCGCGCGTGTGTGTACATGTGCGTGTGTTTGTTTGTTTGTTTGTTTGTTTGTTTGTTTGTTTGTTTGTTTGTTTGTTTGTTTGTTTGTTTGTTTGTTTGTTTGTTTGTTAGGGTTAGGGTTAGTGTGTGTGTGTGTGTGTGTTCGTTTGCTTGTTTTTGTTTGTTCGTTTGTGTTCTTCTCATCATACAAACGGTTTACTACGTCACTGTACACAACACACGCACAACCCCCTGTCCTGCCCCGAGCTCACTCAACTTCTTACTCACCCCCCCCCCCCCAAAAAAAAACGTCCCATCCGCACTACCCTCCCCACCACCAGGCGAGAAGAAGTGGTTTGGCACGGACGAGTCCAAGTTCATTGAGATTCTGAGCGAGCGCAGCTTCCCGCAGATCAAGGCTATTGTCGACGCCTATGAGGGCATGAGCAAGCGCAGTCTGCGCGGCGCCCTCAAGTCTGAGCTCAGCGGCGACTTCAAGAACGCCTGCCTCGCCATTGTCGACTACGCGTGCGACCCGAGCTTCTACGTGTGCCGCCGCCTGTACCAGACCATGAAGGGCTGGGGCACCTCTGACTGGGCACTCATCAACTTCATTGTCGACCACTGCGAGGTTGGTGTGGTTGGTTGGCTGGTGTGGTTGTGGTTTGGTTGCTGTGGTTGGCTGGCTGGTTGGTTGCTTTGGTTTGGTGGCTATATTTCTTGTTCACCCCTTCCGCCTTCCTTTGCTCCGCTCTGCTCCACTCATTCCACCCTCTCCCCCACTCTGTGTCTTGTGTGTGTGTTTGCAGCGCGACATGGATCTCATCAAGGAGCGCTACCCCGGCGTTGTGTCCGAGATTTCATCGGATGGCAAGCCCCGCTTCCTCGGAGAGATGATTCGCGGCGACACCGGCGGTGAGCACAGCATGTTTTGTTGTTTTCCCGCAAGCTGGCACCACGTGCTCGTTTGGCGTGGCCATGCCTCTTTCCACTTTGGCTTGCCGTGCTTTCTTGCTTCATGCATTCGTCTGCTTGCGAAATCAACCATCAAGCATCACGACTCACACACCCCTGTTTTGTTTTGTTTGCATTGTTGTTTTGGCTCGCAGGCAACTACCGCAAGCTCCTCCTCGCCCTCATTGGCGAGGGCACCGTGGCGTGAGCCATCCAATGCAAATCCACACTCACAACTTCAACCAATGACCCACAACATGCACAAACAACAACATACACGTCCATCTTCTGCTTCTTGCTTTTTGGTTCTGTTTGGTTTGCTGTTTCTGTCACATCTTCCATAAACTTTCGTAACCGGCTTGAAATTCGTATTTGCGCGCCATCCCAAATTCGAGTGTGGTGGTTGTGCGGGGATGGTGAGAGTGAGGGTGCCAGCACACATCGCGTTGAAGGAACCAGCCAACCAGCAAGCGAGCGAGCCAGCGAGCCAGCAATCAGGGCGGAGGGTTCACTGAGACCTCCTTGCCCTTCTTTTCGATCCGCTTTCTTTCATGCCAGAAGCACCTGCGGGCGTGCGTATTTATTGATCGTCGTAGCAGCAGCATGATGAAGCATCAAGTGAGCCCTGCCAAGCGCGCCAAGGTGTTCACCCGCAAAGACAGCTTCTCTCCACCAGCAAGCTTCCTGCAGTCGTCCTTGTCAGATGCGTCCACGTGCGCCTCTTCCTTGTCAACGCCGGCAACCCCGCACCCAGACCAAGGCGATGGCCACGTGTTTGTGCCAGTGGCGCCACAGCCCGTGGATCCGCGCAAACTCGATGCCGTCATGGACACGCTGCAAGAAGATGACCAATGCAGCCCTTCAGACTGCACCGACGCCTACTTTTGCCTCGCCAAGTCGGTTTCGTGTGTCTGTCTCGTGTGTGTGTGTGTGTGTGTGTGTGTGTGTGTGTGTGTGTGTGTGTGTGTGTGTGTGTGTGTGTGTGTGTGTGTGTGTGTGTGTGTGCTGCAGTTGCGTGTGTGTGTGTGTGTGTGCTGCAGTTGCGTGTGCACCTGGTTTTTCTTCTGTGCCGCGCTAGCTGTTCCTGTGTTGCTCCATGCGCCGCTGTCTTCAAGATGCGCACCTGTTGCTGACGTTTTCTCTTGCTCCTTCTTGCTTGCATGGTCATCAACTGATAGCTACCTCGAGAATGATGTCGAAGACCGATTGGTGCAGCACCTCCTCACCAATCACAAAGACATGTTCTTCGAGACGATTCAGGTTGACCATGGGCGTCTGCGTGTGCATGTGCACGTGTTTGTGTGTGTGTGTGCGTGTGTGCGTGTGTGCGTGTGTGCGTGTGTGCGTGTGTGCGTGTGTGCGTGTGTGCGTGTGTGCATGTGTGCGTGCGTGTCGTACTGTGTTCTGTGCTCCTTCACCAAGGCCTTTCGTGGATATTCAAGTCGATCCTGCGTTCGATGTTGGCGTTGGTGTGAGCGCGTTGCGTTTTGTGTATATCTGCCGCACTCACATGTGCATCTGTTTGGCTACGTGACTGCGCTTGCACATGCACTCTCCGTTTGTGCAGAACCACATCCTGGCACAAGATCGATTCCTCACAGAAGCGGCGATCAAAGTCCTCGCACTGCTCATGCGGCACCCAGCCGTCATCAGGTGCGTCATTTTGTCTTGTGTTGTGCTGTGCTGTGCTGTGCTGTGCTGTGCTGTGTTGTGTTGTGTTGTGTTGTGTTGTGTTGTGTTGTGTTGTGTTGTGTTGTGTTGTGTTGTGTTGTGTTGTGTTGTGTTGTGTTATGTTGTGTTGTGTTGTGTTGTGCTGTGCTGTGTTGTGTTAATGTCGTGCGTGTATGTGGGGATTACCACTGCCACTGCTGTCATGATCTGTGACGCGTGTCTGCGATATTCTAACACTTCACAACCTCCCACTCCATCGCATCCATGAATGCAACAGCGCGCTGTCTGTGGAAGTGCAGGGCCAGCTGCTGGGCGGTCTGGTGCGCGTGGTGCAATCAGCCGTGACGGGTGCGCTCTCAGATAAGCCAACGCAGTCTGAGGCAGAGAAACAGGAGGAGTTTATTGCACACAAGAGCAGGTGCGCCGCGGCTGTGTGGTGCCTCTCCGTGCAACGCGTCAAGAAGCAAACGCTCGCGTCTCAGGTATGCTTTGCGTGCGTGCGTGTGTGTGTGTGTGTGTTTTGTGTGTGTGTGTGTGTGTGTGTTGATGTTTACATATGTGTGTGTTGATGTTTACATATGTGTGAATGTGTGTGAATGTGCGAGTTTGCACGCGATAAAATGTGTTCACGTGCAAGAGAGTAGGAAGTATATGCACCAAAGCACTTGCACCACGAATGCCCTGTGTCTCACCCCCGCGCTTGTGTTGCTTCCGTATGTGCACGGTCATGGCCACAGACGAGGGCAGATGTTGCGACGTGCTTGCAGCAGGCCACGCGCTGCTTTTCGTCGTTCAGCAAAGAGCCATCACCAACGCTCGATGTGCTGCTTGTTCAGTGCACAGCGCACATGAAGCACCAGCTCAGTGCCAGGTGGTTTCGCTCGAACCTCATGACCATCGCCGACATCTGTCTGCCCCTCACCATCAGCGTGTATGAGCAGGTATGGTTTCCTTTGTGTGTGTGTGTGTGTGTGTGTGTGTGTGTGTGTGTGTGTGTGTGTGTGTGTGTGTGTGTGTGTGTGTTGTGTGTGCATTCCGTATAGTGCTACGACGCGCGGCGAACCACGTGATACACACCACACCACCACCACACCACCACTCCTCACCCTCTGCACACCCTCTGCACACATCAGGTGCGACAGGAGGCCGAGTTGCTCTATTTTGGGACATTACGCAATCTTCTCCTGCGCGCGTCCGGCGGGAAGAAAACGGCCGTCTTCAACCAAGTGGCCGAGGTGAGGCGAGGTGTTCGTGTGTGTGTGTGTGTGTGTGTGTGTGTGTGTGTGTGTGTGTGTGTGTGTGTGTGTGTGTGTGTGTGTGTAAACAAGGAAGTGTATGTCGCGTGTTTGGGTGTCACTTGCAAGACTGTGTTCTAATGAATATCACTCGCCTCAATCTCGCTGCCATGTGTCAACTGACACACTCGCCTCGCAACACTGGTTCTGCTGTCAGGGCTTGGCAACCGTCATGCTCCGCTCCATGAAACAATCAAGGCGAAACACAGCCAACACGCTCAAGCGATGGTGCGGGTGTATGTGTGTATGTGTGAATGTATGTGTGTGTGTATGCGTTGCTGTGATGATGAAACCTTGTTTTGTGCCGTTACAACTTTCCTCCAGCCGTTTGTGTGCGCAACAAACACTCTATCCCAACTCACATTTTTGTGTTTGTCAGGATGGATCTGTTTGAGGTGTTTGGAAGCGTGTGGAGACGCAACGAAGCGAAGCACAGCGTGAACAAGCTGCTGCGTCCGCTGTCATACGCGCAGGCGTTGACTGAGGGGCCTGAGACGCTCGTACGACCATTCGTCTGGGCTGCCATCGCCAGGTGTGCGTGTGCTCATGATTATGCTCGCTTGTGTGTGTGTGTGCGTGTGTGTTGTGTGTTGTGTTGCGTTGTGTGTGTGTGTGTGTGTGTGTGTGTGTGTGTGTGTGTGTACAAGAGCAGCTCGTACTCATAGGCACACATGCACACAACCATCCATCACACCCATGCATACACTTGATTTCAGGTTGTTTGTCAGCCAGTCGTGCAATGCGCAGCGGCTCCTTCGCAGCAAAAACATTAAATTGTTCGGCGCCAAACTCATCAAGCAGGTACGCACATGTGCTTGTGTGTATGTATGTGTGTTTTGCAGCCGAACACATTGCTCTTCATGTGAAACTGTGTCGTACAAACGCACGCAATCGCAATTACTACCGACACATAAACTCACTCGCTCAATACTACGTTCGCATATGCACGTGACAGACACACGTGCACCTCCCCACTGAGCACATGCGCATGAAGTTGTGGTGTTGTTTCACGTCCATCCTGGGCCCTGAGCTGCGCGGCAATCTTGATGTTCCCGTGTCACTCCTTCAACACGCCAGAGACGTTCACGCTCAGGTTCGGGCGTGTGTGTGTGTGTGTGTGTGTGTGTGTGTGTGTGTGTGTGTGTGTGTGTGTGTGTGTGTGTGTGTGTGTGTGTGTGCGTGTGTGTGCCTTTGTGTATTGTGTGTGCATGTCTGCATTTGTGCGTTGTTAGGTGCCTGTCTCAGTACGGCACACCTGATTTCACACACACACACACATTCGCAGATGACATCGTCTGAGTTTTCGCGCGTGGCTGCGAACGTGTTCCCGCTCCTGCTGTGGCTGACACGCACGTCACCCACGTTTTCGTCGCCAGAACAACAACAACAGCAGCAGCAGCAGCGGCAGCAACCCGTCTCGCTTGAAGCTGCTGTGACGTCGGTGTTGTCACTGCCTCCAGCTCCCACTCAAGAGAGTGTTCGTGTGCGCACAGCGCATGACTTGGACACGGTCCCAAACATGTACAAGGAGGCCCTCAACTCACCGGTTTCGCTTGACACCGCGCCGCCTTGTTCCCTCACAGCGCGCCAGGTCAATTTCATTGCCATGCACAGTTGGCGTTTTGTGTGTGTGCGTGTGCGTGTGCGTGTGCGTGTGTGTGTGTGTGTGTGTGTGTGTGTGTGTGTGTGTGTGTGTGTGTGTGTGCGTGCGTGCGTGTGTGTATGTGTGTGTGTGTGTGTGTGTGTGTGTGCGTGTGTGTGTGTCTCAAAGTGCCTGCTACCGATGTGGCAGAAATCAAGCTTTGACGTGAAAAACTCTATGCTGCCACAACACGCTTCGTATACGTTGACTGGCGTCATCTGTCCCTACACAGGTTGCAGTGTGGTGCTGCGGACATGCACCGCTGTTTTCGTGGTGGATTGATGTGGCCGCGGCACTGCCCAGCACGGCGACAAACACAACGACAAACACAACGACAAGTGGCACCAATAGCGCAGTCACCAAAGCCACCTCAACGACAGAAGCGTCCACAGCAGCAGCTGTTACCTCGTTTCCCCTTTGGATCACGCGTCTTGCTCGCATCCTTCTTCGTGATTGTAAGTCATCCTCGTGAATGCGCGTGCTTGTACGTTGCCAACTATTATGACCGGGGCCTTGGCTGTTGCTTGTATCGCTTCGTTGTTCACGATTTGTCCTGTGGAATGCATTTCCGTTTTGTGTTCCCCCCCCCCGGTCCACACGAATCCCAACAACTGCGTTTTGCACGTCAAACCCAAAGCACCACTCATCTCACACCAGCTGCATCCCACCATTGCGTGATTTGGACACCACCACGATTGCATCAACATTATCACCACGGCAATGACACGACTGCAGACACTGATGGCGCTGCGTCCGCGCGGGACCGCATTGTGCAGAGCGTTGTGCGCGCGTGCGTCACGCACCCGCAGCCCAACCTGGCGTGCGTGATTGCCATTCTTCGCTTTGCCACAACGCAGGCACTGCTGTTTGGGCGGCGCGTGGAGATACCGCCCGTCCCAGACATGATGGCAAGGAGGAAGGTGAATGGGGCTGGCAAGATAAGCGTTGGCGATGCTGATGATGACAATGGCAGGAGCCGTGATGCCATTGCCACCAACGACGACGACAACACCCACAACATGAGCAACAACGACGACGACAAGAATGGTATCAGCGGGGTGAGTCCGTTGCAGCTTTTGCAGCAGGGTGAGCAGGAGGACAGTGGAGATTCCATGACACCGACCCAAGGGCCACCGGCAGCTGCTGTTGCTGCGAGCGTGATTGCCAACACCTCAACATCAGCAGCAGTGACCACGGCAGAGCAGTCATCAGGCTCGGCAACAACACCATCCCCCGCCTCGCTGGTTGAGCGATGCGAGTCTGGCCCGCTGCTGGAAGGCGTCGTGTTTGCGCTGCTGCGGCATTCCGATTTTTGGCGCGCGTGCGATGCCCTGGACGAAGACGATTCAGACCTTCACCACAGCCACCACCAACAGCACCAACATCAGGAACAGCACCAACAGCACAATGCCTCTGCAGCTGCTAGCGGTGGTGAAGATGTCGCCGTGTGTGCCGGTGGTGGTGATGGTGATGGCGGTGCAGCTGGTGATGATGGTGTATGCAGCAAGAGGGAGAACACGAGCAATCCTGGTGGTGATGGTGGTAGGGTTGCGGCGAATCAACAAGGTGGCAACAGCAGAGGCGATGCTGACAACGAGTCACGGTGCCCACACGTGTGGGGACCTGACGGCTGTGAAACAAGCGCCGACGATGTTTCCCTCACCCGGTCGAGTGCTGCAACACCACCAACATCAGCAGTCACGACGACGACCACCACGACCATCACGACGGCTGCCACCACGACGATGACAACAACAACGGCTGCTGCAACAGCAGACGAACCCGTGGGCACGATATCACAGCGTGTCAAACATGAGTTGATTGCCGGTGCGTGGCGTCGGGCCCTGCGCGTGTGCTTCCACTCGATCAACCCGCTCATCTCCCTGCAGGAGCCCCTGCACCTGTTTGAACAGTTTGCACGGCAGCGCGTGCGTGCGGGTGCGTCGTGTGCGGTGTGGCCGTGGACAGAGGCATTGCAGCAGCTGCACGCGTTTCTGTCGGATGGGCGGCCCTGCTTCACCGGTGACGTGGACTGCGCAGACCTGACGATTGTCACCAACGTGCTTGCGTTTCCGTTCACGACGGGCCTGCTGCTGCGGATACCGCTGTCCCAGAGCATGCTCCTGACGAAGTTGTGGTGTGCGGTGTACAAGCAAGCAGTGGCGTCCTGCGAGCAGGCGGGCGTGGACTGCAATCTCTTGCAGGAGCAGGTCATGCGCAGGATGAAGGCGGCGGTGCTGGAAAGCAACCTGGCTGTGCATGCAGCCGCGTTTGAGATGTGCTGCGTGTGCGTGACGGCCGTTCTGAACGAAGCGCGCCCCACAGACAGGGTGGGCCCCAACGACGACGACGACGACGACGACGGCAATGCTGACGACCTGGAGAGTGATGACATGGGGGCCATGCGAGACCTCTTTCTCGTTGTGGAGCACCTGCTCTCCCTCGCGGAATCTGTCTCCCGTGACCAGTGGGCGCGCGTGCCATTGAGCCCACACTCGGACCGCCTTCTCAAAGCCCTGGGCTTGTACATCCGACGTACATCAGACTTGGTGCGTGTTTGCTTGTGTGTGCGTGTGTGTGCGTGCGTGTGTGTGCGTGCGTGTGCGTGCGTGCGTGTGTGTGTGTGTGTGTGTGTGTGTGTGTGTGTGTGTGTGTGTGTGTGTGTGTGTGTGTGTGTGTGCACAGCAGTCGGTTGTTCACTTCGTGTGGTTTTTCAGTCCTCTAATCGTTTGAGATTTCTGCGCATCACATGAACGCTCACCTGTCCACTCCCATTCACGTCACTCAACTTTGCTCACGCACACATTCATACATACACACACATACTTACACACCCACACACACACCCACACACACACGCGCGCGCGCACGGCCGCACGTAACAGCTGGTGTTGCGCCAGCGGGCGTTTGCACAGACAATTCGCGTGTTCTCTGGGGTGTTTGTGCGATTTCTGCAGCGAGTGGGGCGTGTGCGGGAGTCACGCAAAGCCACGCTGCGCCAGAACCGCCGGCATGCTGTGCGTGTATCGCCATCACGGTCACGAGTGACACGCTCGCCAGCTTTGCCGTTGCCCAGTGGAGCAAACACGACTGCTGCTGCATCTGCGTCGCCAACAACCACACAGCAACCATCCACCGCAACAGGAACAACAACAACAACAACAACAACAACAACGACAACGACAACGGTACCATGCTCGCCCACGACCGCCATCGCTGTTGAGGGGCAGGGCGACGTTCCTGTCAAACCACTGCCGCATCGGTTCCAGTGCCGGGTGGTGGATGTGTTTGCAGACATTTGCAGTGCGCTAAGCATGTGTGGCCATGCGTCCAAGCACAGCCTTTCTCTGCTGCGGGCGGTGCTGCCCATCCTTGAGGTGCGACATCTACTGCTTGTCTCGCGTGCGTGTATATGTTTGTTTGTTTGTATGTTTGTTTGTGTGTGTGTGTGTATGTATGTTTGTGTGTGTGTGTGTGATTGATCTGTGGTGCATCCATGCAAGCAACACCTCTGGTCGATTCGTACGCGTTCTCACTCACTTGCGCACGCGCACACGCGCGCACACGCACACACACATGCAATTGTCTAGGTTGCGCTGTGCCACCCGCACGACGGCGTGTACAAGAAGAGCGAGGTCATGTGGGAAGCGTTTGCGTGGGTGTCGCCGCAGGACTACCCGGCGTCACTAGAGGCGCTGCTGCGTGAAGTGCAGCGTGCCACCCCGCACCGGCTGCATACACCACTGCTCTACAACACTGGTCGCCCACCAGCACCGTCGTCTGCGTCGCCTTCACGGGCATCATCATCGTCGTCGTCGTCATCACCACCACCTCCGCTGTCATCGCCATCACAATCGTCAGCGTCTGCGACCTCACCGTCACGTACCGCTTCCCCACCGCTGGCCAGCACGGTGACAGCAACGTCAGCATCGCCAAGCCCAACAGCGCGGGGACCAGCGTTTACGTTCTCGTCGCCTCCTCGCATCAGCCGCACCCGCATTGGCACGGGCAGGGCTGTCGCTGCTGGTGCTGGTGCTGGCCGCGGTGGTGCTGCTGATACTGGTGGTGGTGGTGGTGATGAGTGGAATGCCACGTCTGGTTCACCGTTGCGGCGAGTGGGCACCCCCGGTGCCCGACCAGGCGCGCTGACATCGCCTGCACCGAGTGTTCGCATTGGACGTGGTGGTGGCAGGGCGCGACGCAGCATCGGTGCACTGTCTTTCGTGGAGACGAACAGGTCAACAGGCAGCAGCAGCAACAGCAGCAACAGCAGCAACAACAACAACAACAACAACAACAACAACAACAACAACAGCAATAACAACAACAACAACAACAACAACAACAACAACAACAACAACAACAACAACAACAACAACAACAACAACAACAACAACAACAAAACCAGCAGGAACAAACACAGCAGCAGCAGCAGCAGTGTTGGTCATGGCAATTCGATTTTGATGCGTATGCAGCGCGGTGAGCAGCTGTTGTCTGCCAAGTCACCCGCCAGCAGCAGCAGCGGTCGCAGCAGTAGCAGTGGCAGTAGTGGTGGTGGTGGTGGTGGTGGTGGGAACACGGCTGCCACTGCGACGGGTGCAAGGCGTGGTGGCAAGTCCAAGGCAACGCGCGCACTCCCGTTTTCGCGGCCAATCGACGAAGAGGACTCGGAACTGTTTGTGAAGATTGACACGGGACCAAGCGGAGTTGTGGCGGGTGCGGGCACAGCCAGCAGTGACGCGAACCAGGACACCACCGTCATTGCTGATTATGATGATGACCACGACGATGGCGATGGTGATGATGGGCAGAGTGGCGTTGCGCGGCGTGGAGCAAAGGCCAGTCACTGCGATACTGGTTTAACCAGCAACAGCAGCAGCAGCAGCAGCAGCAGCAGGAAGAAATGGATGAGCGATCGCCAACGGGAGCGGCGGCGCGCGCGAAAGGAACAGATGCTGAGCGTTCGCATGTACACGTCTGTTGACGTGTCGTCGCAGGACTCGTGCTCACTGCTTGAGCAGTCCGACAGCGATGAAGCGTGCGTTGGTGCTGGTGGTGGAGGTGGAGGTGAAACCTCGATGCCTGCAAGCAAGCGAGCCAAGATGGCAGTGGCAGCAGCGGTTGCCGCATCAGCGTCGGCCGCGGCGTTGAATGCGGGCAGTCGACACAAGAGGAGCAGAAGCACGACGCGTGGTGGCAGAGGCAAGCACGGCGGTCATTCCCACGACGATGGCGATGATGATGATGATGATGATGATGATGACGATGGCGACGTTGAGACGGTTGTGCTGTCTGGCGATGAGACGGAGATTGAGGATGACACGTCCTCCGAAAGCGACGGGCGGGTGTCTCCACGCGTTGCCTGTGACAACGGCGCCGGTACCGATGCTGTGGGGCAGGAGCGACGGCTCTTTGGAACGTGTGTGGATGGTGTGCCGGTCAGCATTCTGAAGCGCCGCGGGCATTGTCGCACGTTGGGCCGCAAGCACGAACGCGAGCGTGATCAAGCCGATGGGCGTGGGCGTGGCCGCGATGGTGAGTGTGGTGGTGAGTGTGGCGCAGGCCACCGTGGCGGGGTGACGTTTAACCTGGCATTGAACACAAGCCACACGTTTGGTGACATGAAGGAGAACGTGGTTGTGGCGAAAGCGAGGCAAGCTGATGACGGCACCGGCCATCACTGCGATGGTGACGCCGACGGGGATGTTGGTGATGATCATGATGGGCATGACGGAGATGAGGAGCATGAGGAACTGCGAGTGACGGGAGCCAGTGGTCGAGACAGCGACGCAGGCGGCTGGAAGCAAACAACACGCAGCCATAACAGCACCACCAGCACCAGGCGCGTCAACCGCGGCAGCAGTGGATCAGCTGCTCGTGGTGGTGGTGCTGCTGCTGCTACTGCTAGCACCAGTGGTGTGACGCCTGGCAACAGCATAGACCTCACGCCACCTCGGCAGTCCAAGGTGCTTTCATGACATTGTGCGTGTGTGTGTGTGTGTGTGTGTGTGTGCGTGCGTGTGTCGTGGCTACCTTTTGCCCCCCGGTTCTCTCTGTCTGTCTGTCTGTCTCTCTGTCTGTCTATCTCTCTGTCTGTCTCTCTCTCTCCCTCTCTCTCTCTCTCTCTCTTTTCTCTGCCTGTGTCCCTCGCTCACCCCTTTGTCCTCACCCCCTCTTCTGCCCTCTCCTCTGCACACGCGCACATGAAACGTTGGCAGGCGTCACGCGTGCTGAGAGGAACACCGCGAGCGCAACGCATGTTGGCTGCAGGCACAGCTCACCACCGCCAGCAAGCGTCGCCCCAGAACATCGACCAGCAGACAGGCAGGCGCTGACGCCAGTGTGGCGCTTTTGACACAGGAACAACGTGCACACAAAAACACAGCACACACACACAGCACACACAACACACAAACAAACACACAAACAGAGCACAAACACACAAACAGAGCACAAACACACTGAAAGTGAATCCTTGTTTGTTTTTGGTCGTGTCCGCTGAGCTGTTTGAAAGGCTTGTTTGTGTTTGTGGAAATTTTGTGAAACGATATTTGATGGAAGACATTAGTAAATGATCTGCGGTCACGACGCTCCGACGCCTTGACATGCGTTCTGGCCGCTGTCGGGGCAAAACGTGACCGTTGGTGCGAGTGGAGGCGCAATTTGCGTGCATGCACGTGCTCTTGTATCCACCGCCCTTTGTTCTCTCCAGTGGCTTGAAGTGTATGTTTCGCCAAGGCGCCCCGCGCGTGGGAAGTAGCGCAGCCGCATGTTGTTGCACATCCAGGACAAGGTTGCAAACGCGCTTTATAGCGGTGATTGGCCGCCACACACACGAATAGGCGGGATGGACGACTTTGGTTCCCAAGCCTACGCTGTTTCGCAGTTGCGTTTGCCTGTGCGCATTGCAGCTTCGCGCGCATTGCCACGCTGTGGTGGGACAGTGTGGCTAGGCCCGAGGGGAAGCGTGGGAGGACGGCTACGACGACAGCCAGCAACCGACCAAACAAAACCACCAAAAGACGTGTGGTGTGAAAGGGAGTGATGTGGCGCAAGTGCAAAAATCGCCATCATGTGATGGCAGATGTGGGCGGAAGTGGGGGTGTTGCCACTTTGACACAAACAAAGGAGGAAGAGGATGGGAGGGGTGGCGAAGCAAACACACAATTATTTTGCACAAACGCGCACCAGGCGACGCGAAACCATCAAGCAGCACTGGCACACGTCGGCAAGAAAGCTCACGAACGAAAAGTGCGGCCTGCATCGGTCCTTCTCCTGGCCCACCGACCCACACCACACACACACACGATTCCCAGCGCACGTAAGCAAGTGCAAACACCATTGCGTCTCCCTGTCGCAAACGACATCAAGCCACGTCACATTACCCCACGGCACTGCGTCGACAAGCCTGATTGACTTTATTGGCGTGTTTGGCTTCGTGGCAGTGTGATTGCTTGTTTGCTTGCTTGCGCCATCTCCGGGGTGCACGCGCGCGCACACCTTATCTTTTTTGTTTTTCTTCTGTTGTGCGCTTGCCTCCCACCGACGCCGTCCTCCGCCTGCCACTGCCGCTGTTGCTGGTGGGTCTGCCTTGCTTGCACGCTTTTGGTGGTTGTGCACTTGCGTGAGTTTTGGCTGATTGGGTGGTGTGCTCTCCTCACTTCCACGCCTGCGCCTGCCTTGTTTGTTGTTGCTACTTTGTTGCCTTGTTTTGCTCTTGCTGTCTGTTGCTTTTGTTTTGGCATTTGCTCTGTGTGTTTGTCTGCATGGGCGGGCAAGAAGCAACACCCTCCCGATAGACCATTCACAGCACCACACCCGCGCGCTTTGGTTGTTGTGTTGTTTTGTTTTGTTTTTGTTGTTGTTGTTTGTGTTGTTGGCTGCTTCTTATCGGCATCGCGCCATCGCTACCAGCCAGCCTTGTTGGGGGTACCTGCTTTGTTCGCGGTTTCCTCTCCGAGTTTGACGACGCAGCCGTAAGTTTGCGCAAGTGCATGCGTTTGTTTGGTTGGTTGGGAAGGGAAGGGGAGGGGGAGGGTGAGGGTGATGCACGCGACTGTCAATGTGGGTGGAGATGTTGCCGTGGATGCACGTGTTGTGTGTTTTGTGTGTGTGTGTGAACGTTGTTGATGTGAGAGTGTGTGTGTGTGAACGTCGTTGATGTGAGTGAGTTGCATTCCTCGTCTCCACCGTCCACTATGACACACCCGCGCATGCAAGCACACGCGTGATCAGAAACACAACGTCGCCTTCACGATCTCACATGCATGCATGCCATGCTGTCTCTGCTTCCTGCTGCTCGGCTGTGTGTGCGTGGTTGTGGTTGTGGTTGTTTGGCGTGTATTATCCGCCACCGACCCGCAAACATTTGCCACTTTGCGCTTCCATCCGCCACCACGTGTCACTGTGTGCTACCATCCGTCGACCAGCTGCCTTTCGTACTTGACGGCTTTTCATTCTCTTCCCCACTCCCCCCACGTTCGATTCTTCTTCTTCTTTCTTGTCCTCTTCTTTTTGCGCTCTGTCGCTGTCCTCAAAGAAAGGTCTACGATGCCTGCCAACACTGCTGAGTCCGACACCGCCGCCGTCGTGACGGTGCCCCCACCAACCACGGCAACCACGGGCGTGCCGCCACCGGCACAGGAGAAGGTCGCACCACCGCCAGCAACAAGCTCGGTGCCACCCCCGCCTCCACTCAGCCATCCTGTCTCCGTGCCTGCCAACGGCTCCGTCCAGCCGCCACCCGCTGCAACCAATGGCACTGTACGCCCCCACAAGCAGCGCACATCCAGCAGCCGCGAAGCAGAGGCCGAGGCCATGAAGCGCCGCGTCTTTGTCGGCAACATTGGCCGCCAGGTGCGTGTGTGTGTATGTTTATGTGTGCATGTCAGCTGTGTGAGCTGTGTGTGTGTGTGTGTGTGTACTGGTGTGGACTTGTGTGGGCTTGTGTAGGCTTGTGTGGACTTGTGTGGACTTGTGTGGACTTGTGTGGACTTGTGTGGACTTGTGTCTGTGTGTCTGTCTGTCTGTGTCCCGGTACTTGTGTATGTTGTGTTCACGTGTTTGCGTCGTTATTTTGCGCGTGCAATGGCTTCCTGCTGTTTTGTGTGCTTGATCCCTCTACCCTCGCCTTTCTACATCTCCCATTCGCCCTCACATTTCCTCCATCATCGTCTCTCTGGTGTGTTCACTGTCAGTGCACGGAGGAAGACATTCGCCGCCTCGTTGGCGACCAGTTTGGCCGGATTGAAAGCATCAACATCGTGCGCGATCACGTCAATCACCAGTCCAAGGGGTGCGTTGAACAGCGACTGTTGGGCACATCATGCACGTTTGCTTGCAGGCAAGCAAATGTCACTCGTGCTGTTCTCATACCTGTGTGTGTGTGTGCATGGCACTTCTGCCGTTCCTGTGACAGATACGGCTTTATTGCCTTTTCCACCGAAGAAGAGGCCAACCGCTGCATCGCTCTGGCCGAGGTGAGAGAGAGTGTGTGTGAGAGTGTGCGAGAGTGTGCTTGAGTGAGTGTGTGTGTCTGGCCGAGGTGAGAGAGAGTGAGTGTGAGAGTGTGTTTGAGAGAGAGAGAGAGTGTGTGTGTGTGTGTTTGTTCGTTTGTTTGCCCATGTGTGTGCGTTTCTCCTCTCATCCTGGCTCTCTTCGCCTTCTCACCCTCTCGTTCCTGTCCACAATCGCACGCAGCAACACCCCATCCACTTTCGTTCACGCCAGCTCAACTTCCGCGAGGCGCGCCGCCGCGAGCGCGGATCCGTGAGTGATGTGACCTGTCCTCTTCTTGTCTGTGTGTGTGTGGGTGTGGGTGTGGGTGTGGGTGTGGGTGTGGGTGTGGGTGTGTGTCTGTGACTGTGTCGTTGTTTGGTTGCTGCCGACTGGCTCTTGTTTTGATTGTGTACATGCGACAAACCCCACCCCCACCCCACTCCTTGTTCCTTCCACCTTGCCACAGAGCGATCCACCGCGTCGTCGCATGCGCCAGCGGTCTCGTGGTGCCTCTCTTGATGCCTCCATGCACACCATGTATCCGCACAGTAAGTCGAAACACGTGATCGCATGTGTGTGTACTTGTGTGCAGTTGTGTCGTGCCGTACTTGCGCGTGCTTGCTTGCATGCACGCAGTTGTGACGCTCTGTTCGCTCACCACCACGTGTTGCAACTTGGCGTTGATTTGGACAGTGATGATGCCTGATCCCAACGGCGGCATGATGGTGCGTGTTCGAGCACCGTGTGTGTGTGTGTGTCTGTGTGTGTGTGTGCGCGCGTGTGTGTGTGAGAGAGAGAGAACGTTTTGTAGTTTGCTGTGTTAGCTGTCGCCTTTGCATGCATCGGCTTTGGCTGGTCACCTCAACCATACTGACACGGCACGTGTGGGGTTTTCTTCTTTCGTGGTTTGCACACCTGCTCAGCCCCCAATGGAAATGCAGATGTATGAGAACGGGGGCGTGATGCCCATGTACATGCACATGCAGGTACGACGCGTGAAATTTGCCTGTGTGCTCTTTCGTTCGTAGTCACTACCAAAGAGAACCGCTGCGCGTGCGTGCGTGCGTTTGAATGGTTGAGCCCCGCTGCGTGCACGCGGCAGCAGCGTAGTGCCCAGCACCACTGTCATCCTCCTTTGTCCAAGTGCACACGTGCGCATGAGAACCAGTCCCATTTTTCAAGCCCTCAGCTCACGTACACCACACCGCACGCACACACGCACACACATGTATATATGCACACATTACACACACACTGCACACATTACACACACACTGCACACACACACACACACACACACATACATACATACATACACACACATTGCACACACTCTCTCTGCGCACACGCTTTCCACTGCGTACCAACAGCAGGGCTACCCGATGCCCAACGCGCCGCTGATGGGACACCACCATCCCCACGCTGGTCGTGCCGGTCTTGTGGGCCCGCCGCCGCCAAACAGCGCCCCGTACAGCCCCGTGTATGCTCACCCCACCATGTACAGCCAGCACCAGCCAGATGTAAGTGCGCGAGCGTGCATGCGTTCGCGCGCGTGTGAATGTGTGAATGCGTGTACGCGTGCGCACGTTACTCAAGATGGTTCAGCGATTTTTTTCTTCCACCTTCGCTTTGTTTCAAACACACTCATGCACACTACTGCACACCCTCACACACACTCACACACACACACACACACACACACTCACACACACACACACACACACACACACACACCCTCGCGCATACACACATTTAGACGCACTTTGCCTTCTCGGGGATGATGCCGTATGCACCAGAGCAGCAGGCGCCCACACGCTACCAGCAAGCCTTCCCCGGCCAGCGGCCTCCACCTGTTGGCATCGTGCCCGGACACACGCACGGCCATGCCGCCGTCGACGACGCAACACAGGCCATGGCCGGCATGAACCTTGGTGGCCACCCGCAGCCGCCACAGCAGAACTAACGGGAGTAACGCGGGGTTCCCAAAAGCAAGTTGCCCAACACACCCGAAGCGCAATCCATCCATCCATCAACCCATCCATCCATCCGTCCGTCCATCCATCCATCTCTCGCTCTCTCTGCGCCTCTCCACGTGTGTGGATGACTGCTTGCTGTTGCGTCGTCTCCTTTCTTGACCTCTCCCCCCGTTGTTGTTACGCTATCGACATGAGAAGTGATGCTGTGTGCCCTTGTGGCGCCTGGTTTTCCCTTCCATTGCGGCCTGTGGTCCTCCTCCAATGCTGCTGTTACCATTTTGTGTGTCTCCTATTCTCGTTACTGTCGTGAACATGGCAGCCGAATTGGCTGTTGATTGTCTGATTGTGTTCTTGTGCTGTGGCACTGTGGTAGCCCCCTCGTTCTCTTTGGTTGTCAGCTTTGTGCGCGCGTGTGTGTACGAATGTGTGTGTGTGTCTTACTTGTCGCTGACACGTGTGTGTGTGTGTGTGTGTGTGTGTGTGTGCTCTCCTACCTGATTGCTTCATGTGCGTGTGCAAGCGTGTGTCTGTACTGTCAGTTGTTTGTTGGCCTTGTTCGCTTCTTCTGTTTCTTTCTTCCTAATGTTCCTTTGGCTTGTGGTATGTGCAAGTGTGCTCACCTATTGTGCGCAGGGGATTGGTTTCCCATATCGCGCTTCCTACGATGCATTGCAGACTACGCGTGACTGACTAGTCGAGTATCCTAGTGCGCTGTGTTTGCTGTCTTGCTGTTGTTGCTGTCGGATGTCGCCAGCCGTGTACCCTGGTCTCCCTGCCCCCCCCCCCCTGTGATCTCTTTGCTGTCTTTTTCTTGTGCTGTTGTGGTTGTTGCTCTTGGTTCTGTCCAGTTGTGTCCCTGTTTTGTCCCCTGCCTGGTGTGGCCCCTCTTCCTTGTGCTTGCTTGCCTTCCCCTTTTCTCCCCTCTTCTAATCGATTGGTCGTGATGTTTATCGCTTCTCCTCAGATACGCACGCGTTGTCCGTTCACATCTCCCCCCCCCAACACCATTTTCGCAAATGTATCGCAGTGGCTTGCAACCCCACCAATACATCAGCACCAACACCAACACCAACATGACACCAGCCAGCCATGCTTGCGTGCAACCCTTGTGTCTTCTGGTTTTGGTGCTGCTTCTCGACATGCTTCGTTCTTCGGTCTCTCTCTCTCTCTCTCATCTCCTTCATCAGCCCCTCTGTCAGCGACCCCAAGTCATCCCCCTTTCCATCTCTCGCTTCTTTTCTCTTTCTTCGTGGCCTCTGCTGCCATCCTCATTCATCATCATCGTGCTAGCTAGCTTTGGGCTTGTTGTGCTTGCAAGCAAGATAGCACCTTCTCTTCCAGTGTTTGTTTCTGCCACAAACATCGGTCATGGATGTTGTGCTGGCTCCCACGCTCGCTGATTCCTCTTCTTGCTTTCTCATCCCGACCTCCGCTTCGCTCCTCCCACCACCTTTTCTTCTTCACTCATCCATTCATCCATTCATTCCTTCGTCCATCCATCACTCCCCCCCCCCAACTCGCCACTGCGTTTCAGGCGTCACTGCTGCGTTTCAGTTCACATGTGTACAGACACACTTTGTCTCGTGAGGGCGTCGTTGCCACGTGCCACGTGCCACGGGCAAAGCACAGAACAGATTAAACATCAACACCAGCAGTGTGTGTGTGTGTGTGTGTGTGTGTGTGTGTGTGTGTGTGTGTGTGTGTGTGTGTGTTGATGGGTACATGAGAGGGTCAAGTTGGGTGCGAGGCATTGGTTGTCGTAGCTGGTGCGACCACTTGGCCGTTGTCAGCTATGCATGGGCTGTGCAGTCTCAAGTTCCCGTGTCAAGCGAGCAACGTCCCTGCAGCAACGAGCAGCGCCATGTGGAAAGAAAAACATCGGGTGAGGGAGGAGGAAAGGAGAGCGCAAACGGACCATTTGAGACGAGCAGCAAAGCAGTGGCAACACTTTGGCAGAGCCAACCAACACACACACACACACACACACACACACACACACACACACACACACACACACACACACACACA